CTAGGCACCTAGATGTCAGCCCTCCCTTCTTAGGGCTGCGCATGAGGCACACACCTCTCCACTGCCTGTAACAGGAGCACAAATAAACAACTAGCTCAGTGGAAAACATCCATGCTGCAGGCACTGCATGCCATGTCAGGCACGTGTAATTCCATCTGTGCTTGCTTGTTGTTATGAAAGTCAAGTTTGTTTCAGTAGTCACATTCAAACACAGCCTTGCTGATCCCACACCACCCAGGAATGGTACCACATACATGTAGGTGAAGGGTGCTTCCCTCTTCTTGAATGGACCTGGAACCAAGAAATATGGCAAAGCCACAGCTGAAACACATTGTTTTGGCAGCAAGATCTCAGAATACAGGGCAACAGTGGGATTCAGGTTAGTAGAAAACTGGCTCACACCTGAAGACGTAAGATAACTAGCTCTGCATGGGTCATAAATAGTGATCCTTCTTAGTGAATGCAGAAATTAGGGACTACAAAGGCAGAGCCACAGTGAGAAGGCACAACACTCCCATCAGCTCGAGGAAGACAAACCTTTGAGATGGCAGGGACAACACCATGAGGTGCACGCACAGTGGTTACCTTACAGAATCACAGAATCACAGAATTTCTAGGTTGGAAGAGACTTCAAGATCATCGAGTCCAACCTCTGACCTAATGCCAACAGTCCCCACTAAACCATATCCCTAAGCTCTACATCTAAACATCTTTTAAAGACTTCCAGGGATGGTGACTCCACCACTTCCCTGGGCAGCCTGTTCCAATGTCTAACAACCCTTTCGGTAAAGAAGTTCTTCCTAACATCCAACCTAAAACTCCCCTGGCGCAACTTGATCCCATTCCCCCTTGTTCTGTCACCAGGCACATGGGAGAACAGGCCAACCCCCACCTCGCTACAGCCTCCTTTAAGGTATCTGTAAAGAGCAATAAGGTCGCCCCTGAGCCTCCTCTTCTCCAGGCTGAACAAGCCCAGCTCCCTCAGCCACTCCTCATAGGACTTGTTCTCCAGGCCCCTCACCAGCTTCATCGCCCTTCTCTGGACTCTCTCGAGCACCTCGATGTCCTTCTTGTAGCGAGGGGCCCAAAACTGAACACAGTACTCGAGGTGCGGCCTCACCAGAGCCGAGTACAGGGGGACGATCACCTCCCTAGCCCTGCTGGTCACACTGTTTCTGATACAAGCCAGGATGCCGTTGGCCTTCTTGGCCACCTGAGCACACTGCTGGCTCATATTCAGCCGACTGTCCACCATCACTCCCAGGTCCTTCTCCACCAGGCAGCTCAGAATATGGCATTGATATCACCGGGTAGTCCCTGTGTAACCTGGGAATGGCCATAGTGCAAACAAGGGGCAGCAGGAGGGAGGGAGTGTCTTCCCCAGAAAGTGTTTTCCTCGTCTGAGCCTCCGTGATGCCAGCTCCCCCGCAAGGCTCTTGGTAAACACCAGCAAGGAGGGACAGTTTCAACGTCAGATTTTCAGAATTCCAATCCCAAATCTTGTAGGGATGGGAATGGCCCCTTCATGGTGGAACCACCCCAATTGCACAACCCAACCCTGGGCAGAGCTGGCACCTGCAGCCCCGTGGCAATAAAAAGGCAAGAGAGCCCTGCGAGGAGCACAGCCGCCCGTCTGCCTGCTGCAGAGATGGTGCCGACGACCTCCCTCCTGCTGCTGCTTGGCCTGGCCCTGCTGGCCCCCGGCCTCTCTGCTGACCAGGTGAGGGGATGGGTGTTGCAGGAAGAACAGCTGAAAGCACGACAGGCACTAGTATGGTCAGATAATGCTCCATTTCATTGCCCAAATAGCCTAACTTTTATAGAGAACTTAACAGGGGCGGACAGTGTTTCACACAAGATTGTTGGTCAAAAGCACTCAGACAAACAACTACAAGAAAACAACCCCCTTGTGATTAGCAGTCACATAGACCTTGTCCTTGAAGCCAGCTACTGGTAACAATATTTTTCTGAATTCCTCAATTGGGCGATGTGGGAACATTGTCATGGGAACTTCCCATAGTTGCCCTGGTAGTTTGGTTTGCTCAGCTACAGCAAGCCATGGGATTTTTGCTGTTTCAAAAATCCCTCAACAATTCCCCCTTTTTTTTTCTTTTTTTTTTTTTTTGAGCAAACCACACCCAATATAACATTTTTGCAAGTAACCCTTTAACCACATTTATCACAATACCACATGCAATGATGATTGACACCACAGCAAACAGAATCCTTAATCCCTCTTTGACTAATCCCAGTAACCATCTATGCATTGTTTCAAACAAATCAGTGAACCATTTATTGAAAGGATTGATACCATATCGAATCTTTCTCATGTGCTCTTTCAGGAAAGTAATGGATTTGTGAATTGACTCATTATGATCAAAAAGGTTTAAACAGTACGTTCGCTTAAAGTCCTCACACCCATTCCTTTGAGCCAAAAGCAAGATGTCAATAGCAGCTTGATCCTGTAAAAGCAGATGTCGCAGACTATTTTGATCTGGTAACATCTCCTCAAGTATCTCTGTCGTGGCATAGGCTTGCTTCTCGGCCCAGCATACCAATTTTTCTAAGTTGTTACGTGCGGCCGCAGATGCCACTCCAGGCACTAAAATTGCCAGTGCCGCTCTAGCTGCAACCTCACACAATTCAACATTATCATTGCAATCCAGTGCAAGCAATGCCCATTTACGTCTGGTGATCTCAGGCAACTGTAACAAGCTAGGAGCAAATACAATGAGTTTATCTAAGTAACATGGACATCTGATAGCATTTGCAGGGATATCTTGCCAGGCCCTATCCCCACAAATCAGAAAACCATCAGGAGGTAAGGCCAAAGCTGTACAATTGTTCCAAACACTGTAGTTGTTACCCCTTGTCTCCATGCTATAAACCCCTAAACCCTGCTTAGCAGCGTCATTGTAATCACAGGTGTTATTTGTATTTCTATACCCGTATGGCCCTTTCCAGGTTCCTGTAGCAGGATTCATCTGATAGCCACGGCTACATTCACATTTGTAGCCACCTTTCAGGTTGATACAGATTTGACTACAGATACCAGGGTTTTGGCACTCATCAATATCTCCACAGTTTCTCTTGTCTACAAACTCAAACCCAACTGGACAGTCACATTCATTTACGATGCATTCCTTCAGGGGCTCATCACCCCAGTCCTTGCAGTCTCTCTGCTGGTTACACACTTTGTTGATATCTATGCATTCTCCACTTCTGCACTTGAATTTGCCAGGTCCAGAGCACTGAATAACATCGTTACAGTTTGCTTCATCAGTGCCATCCAGACAGTCTCTCACACCACTGCACTGCCTACTCCTGTGGACACAGTTCCCATCTTCACACCTGAACTGGTCTGGCCTGCAGGTCTGAGAAGAGCAGTTAATTTCATCACTTCCATCCTTGCAATCAGGATCTCTGTCACAGTCTTTTTCACCATCACATTTCCAGGACACTGGGATACACTGGGTTGACTGAGGACCACAGCTGATTTCATTTACCTGGCATGTTCTCATATAACACAGATCAGCAATCTCATCAGACCCATCTTCACAGTCCGGATCCCCATCACACTGCCATCTGTTTGGCACACACTGACCACTGTTGCACACAAAGTCAGATTCAGCACACGTCTTCTTCACACAAGCACTCTCATCACTGCCATCTGAGCAGTCTTCACATTTTGCACTAGCACTGTCGGCAGCAGTGCACAGGCAGGTGAGGGCAAGCAGCAGAGTGCCCCGCAGCATGGCAGCGCCCACCGCCACCCCACACCTGTGTCACTTATACTACTCCTATTACCCGTGCTGTTAGTTTCAGTGGCATCCTCCTGGTACCGTTTTTGTCTTTGTCGCCCCTTACTCTCCCCCTTTTCTTTTTGCCACTGACCATTCATCACAAATGGATGAGACACATGATTACTAGTTAGGAAAGAGAGTGTAACGTCTGCTATACGACTGCAGGCAGTGCCAGCTGCAACCCTAGAAGCTGTTTGTGAACGAGCCTGCCGGTGGGCATTTGGCAGTGTAATCTGCGTCTCTGCACTCCTGCCCCGCAATAGAGCTAAGTCGTCATTAGTAATCCGTAGAATGTGGCAACCCCACGGAATGTTATGCAGAAACCAAGTTATAACACCGATCTGGGGACGAATAGTCTTTTTTGCATTGCAAGATAAACCTCTTATAAAAAGAATGCCAGAGAGAAGCAGCACAGCTCAGCACAGCCGCCGCTGCCTCCATGGTTCCGTCAGACAGGCTGCAGGGTCCTGATGTCCGCCCCTCTGCTCTGTGCCGACTCGCCTCACGGTGAGGGTCGGCTGCCGTTGTCCACTGATGCCTCTGGTCTCCCGTAGCAACTCGATCTCGGATGTCCCGCATCGCACCGCGATTACTTCAATTTCACGCGTTTGCCGCGGCTCCGTTTCCCGCGTCCCGCCGCGATTGCGTTTCCCGCGTCTCTCCGCGATTCCTTTTTCCGTTTCCCGCGTCCTGCCGCGATTCCTTTTTCCGCGTCCCGCCGCGACTCCGTTGTTCAGGTCGCTGTGTAGAGTGTTTCAACGTCTCTCAGGTGTTCCGGCGTCCGCCAGCTCTGTCCTTTGTCTCTCGGAGTTGGCCGTAGCCCTGCAGCGTCACCCACTGCTCTCTCCGTGCGGTGGTCGGCTTGCCGTGTGCCTCGGCTCTCCCGGCGCCGCTCCTGTGTCCCGGCACCGCTCCGATGTCCCGGCCTCAGCCTGTTCGGGTCTCAGCCTGTTCGGGCGCCATATGTTGCAGGAAGAACGGCCGAAAGCACGACAGACACCAGCAGAGTCAGATCATGCTCCATTTTATTGCCCGAATAGCCTAACTTTTATAGTGAACTTAACAGGGGCGGACAGTGTTTCACACAAGATTATTGGTCAAAAGCACTCAGACAAACAACTACAAGAAAACAACCCCCTTGTGATTAGCAGTCACATAGACCTTGTCCTTGAAGCCAGCTACTGATAACAATATTTTTCTGAATTCCTCAATTGGAATGGCCCATTCATGGTGGAAGCATCCCGATTGCACAACCCAACCCTGGACAGAGCTGACACCTGCAGCTCCGTGGCAATAAAAAGGCGAGGGAGCCCTGCGAGGAGCACAGCCACCCGTCCGCCTGCTGCAGAGATGGTGCCGACGACCTCCCTCCTGCTGCTGCTCGGCCTGGCCCTGCTGGCCCCTGGCCTCTCTGCTGACCAGGTAAGGGGATGGGGATGGGTTTGGGGATGGGGATGGGTAGTGGGACTGTGCCCCTGGGGGCCTCCTTGCCTGCCTCCTGCCCGGTGCTGAGTCCCCTGTGCCCCAGTGCGTGCTGACTGGACGCTGGATCAATGACCTGGGCTCCGACGTGACCATCGGGGCTGTGAACAGCAATGGTGAGTTTGCCGGCACCTTCCACACGGCTGTGATGACCCCGACAAAAGATATCAAAGCATCACCTCTGGTGGGAATCCAGCACACCAAGACCCAGCCCACTTTTGGCTTCACTGTCAACTGGAATTTTACAGGTTCGTCTCCTCTCCTTGTGGTGTCCCCGGTGCTCCCATCCACTCCCTGTGCTTTCTCCTTCCACTCTACCCTCCCCTGTGGTGCCCTGATGCTCGGCAGCCCTGCCCTGTGCCAGCCTTGAGGCTCTTCTGCCCTTCATGTGGCATCCCCTAGGGCTGCCCACCTTTGGTGTCCCCAGAGCTCCCCCATCCCCTCCCATATCCCCATTGGTCCCCCATTCCTGCCCCCAGAGCCTCACCACCTCTGGGTGAGGAATCTCCTCCTACCACCTATCTAAATCTCTCCTCTCTTAGCTTCAAGCCGTTCCCCTTGTCCTATCCCTCCAGCCCCTGACAAAGGGGTGCCCACGAGAGCAGAGCAGAGGGGGACAATTCCCTCCTTCGTCTTGCTGCCCACCCTATGTTGGTGCAGCCCAGGACACGGGGCAGCGAGCACGCATTACTGGCCCATGTCCCGCTTCTCGTCAAACAACACCCCCAGGCCCTTCTCCTCGGGGCTGCTCTCAGTGCATTCCCCACACAGCGTGTGTCTGTGGTGTTCCCGAAGTTCCTGAGTGCGCCAGAGGGCAGGGACAGCCCGAGCGAGCTGTCCCCAGGGCCAAGGAGCCCAGACCCAGCCACGCTCCCCTCACCTACCCTTCCCCGCAGACTCTACCACCGTCTTCACGGGCCAGTGCTTCGTGGACATAGAGGGCAAGGAGATCCTGAAGGGCATGTGGCTCCTGCAGTCACACGTCAACAGCATCAAAGATGACTGGAAAGCCACCAAGTGAGTCCGGGGCAGAGGCACGGGACCTGGGCAGAGACACGGTGGCCCCGTGCCTCCTGCCTGACGTCTCCTGCTCTGTCCCCACAGGGTCGGCACCGACACCTTCACCCGCCGGCCAGAAGTGATGGAGTGAGGCTGGCCCCGTGGGGGTCCCAAGGCTGGCCACTGGCTTCTAGAGGCCTTGTGGCACCTGAAGGGGGCTACAGGAGAGCTGGGGTGGGACTCTGTGCCGGGGGGTGATAGGACAACGGGGAATGGCTTTAAACTATAATAAGGGGGATTTAGATTAGATACATGTATTCGTAAGAAATTCTTCACTCAGAGGTGGTGAGGCCCTGTCCCAGGCTGCCCAGAGAAGCTGTGGCTGCCCCATCCCTGGCAGTGCTCAAGGCCAGGCTGCATGGGGCTGGGGGCAGCCTGGGCTGATGGTGTCCCTGCCCATGGCAGGGGGTTGGAGTTGGGTGATGTGTAAGGTCCCTTCCAACCCAGAATACTCTGTGACTCTGTGATTGCGTGACAACACCTGGGCATGGCCAATGCCCCCGCCTCTCCTCACAATAAAGCTTTACTGCAAACACCTCTGGCTCCTGTCACCTCCTGTCCCTTTGGGCTATGTGTGAGCCCTGGCTCCCATGTCCCCCCCGTGGCGTCCCACTGCCTCTCCCATCACCTGTCCCCAGGCCCTGATGCCCGTCTTGTGGCACGGTGGCACCAGCAGTGGCACCCATGTCACGGCGTCCCCTGTGCCACCACAGGGGACACATCAGCAGCCAACTTCACAGCACCCAACACCCCAGCACCCAACTTATCATCACCCAACTTCTCAGCACCCATCACCTCAGTGCCCTATGGCTCAGCACCCAATATCTCAGTACCCAACTCCTCAGCACCCAACTCCTCAGCACCCAACTCCTCAGCACCCAACTCCTGTGATGGTTTCACTCGGGTGGGCAGCTGAGCTCCACCACAACGCCTCTCTCACTCCCCCTCCTCAAAGGCAAAGGGGGAGAAAATACGATATAAAGGGCTCAAGGGTTAAGATAAGGACCGGGAGATCACTCAAAAATTGTAGTGCTGAGCAAACCAGACTCAGCATAGGGAGACAGTAAGATTTATTGCTCATTACTAACAAGCTAGAGAAGTGAGAAGCAAAGGAAAGAAACCAAAAGCACCTCCCCCCCATCCACCCTCTTCCACCTCCTCCCCCTGAGCGGCGCAGGGGAATGAAGGAATGGGGCTTATGGTCAGTCTACAGCACTTCTTCTCCGCTGCTCCTTCTCGGTCACTCTCGTCCCCTGTGCTGTGGGGTCCCTCCCACGAGATGCAGTCCTTGCTGAACTGATCTGTACTCGAGGTGTGGCCTCACCAGAGCTGAGTACGGGGGGACGATCACCTCCCTAACCCTGCTGGTCACAGTGTTTCTGATACAAGCCAGGATGCTGTTAGCCTTTTTGGCCACCTGAGCACACTGCTGGCTCATATTCAGCCGACTGTCCACCATCACTCCCAGGTCCTTCTCTGCCTGGCAGCTCTCCAACCACTCATCTCCCAGCCTGTAGTTCTGCTTGGGGTTATTGCGCCCCAGGTGCAGGACCCGGCACTTGGCCTTGTTGAACTTCATGCAGTTGACCTCAGCCCATCGGTGCAGCCTATCCAGATCCTCCTGCAGAGCCTTCCTACCCTCGAGCAGATCAACACACGCACCTAACTTGGTGTCATCTGCAAACTTATTGAGGGTGCACTCAATGCCCTCGTCCAGATCATTGATGAAGATATTAAAGAGGACCGGCCCCAGCACCGAGCCCTGGGGGATGCCACTAGTGACTGGCCTCCAACTGGACTTGACTCCATTCACCACGACTCTTTGGGCCCGGCTATCCAGCCAGTTTCTAACCCAACGAAGCGTGCGCCAGTCCAAGCCAAGAGCAGCCAGTTTCTTGAGGAGAATGCTGTGGGAGACGGTGTCAAAAGCCTTGCTGAAGTCAAGGTAGACCACATCCACAGCCTTTCCCTCGTCCACCCAGCGCGTCACTTTGTCATAGAAGGAGATCAGGTTCGTCAAGCAGGATCTGCCTTCCATAAACCCATGCTGACTGGGCCTGATTGCCTGCTTGCCCTGCAAGTGCTGTGTGATGACTCTCAAGAGGATCTGCTCCATGAGCTTCCCTGGTACTGAGGTCAAACTGACAGGCCTGTAGTTTCCTGGGTCTGCCCTCCGGCCCTTCTTGTAGATGGGCGTCACATTTGCTAGCCGCCAGTCAGCTGGGACCTCCCCCGATAGCCAAGACTGCTGATAAATGATGGATAGGGGCTTGGCCAGCTCCTCTGCCAGTTCTCTCAGTACCCTGGGGTGGATCCCATCCGGCCCCATCGACTTGTGCACATCCAAGTGCCGTACCAGGTCACCAACCAGTTCTTCGTGAATAGTGAGGGCCACATCCTCACTACGAACATCACCTGTTCACATCTGTCCCTCAGCACCTCTGCCAAGGTGTCTGCCTGAAAAACTCACATTCTTTCACCACACTAAGCTGACTTCACACACCAAAGGAATGCACATGTCACCAGCATGTGACATTTTGCACTAACATGGCAAATAAAACTCCAACGCCTGCTTAAAAATGATCATACACATTTCTCTTCTTCAACTCATTATTCTGTCTTATAGTCTTTGAATATCACAGCAACCTCACAGGCCTCCTTTTGCTTGTAGATCAGGGCTTGCATCTCACAAACATTATAATTAGGCAAAATCAACATTTCTGTGGAATTCTAAGGCAGCCAAAGAAAATAATGTAAAAACAAAGATGAACGCAGTGAACTTGCTAAGAAAGCCCTCACCTGAAAAAATGTTAAATGTGCCTTTGAAAGGAAATACAAACCCTGATTCCTATAATCAGGATGATAGCATACTATTATTATAACAATAGTGAGTAATAAAATTACATATTATATAATATATTACTATAGTGTAATATTATATCAACTCTAATAACAAACCTTTTCCTGCATGAACACACACCTAAATAATAAGGAAGTTCAAATGAATATTTGAGGATTCTAATATATTCTTTCCTCACATAATTACTGCAATACATTAGCATTCATCAGGACTATGCCAATCATCTGAACAAAATGCTTTCAAATTCATTTGATCTGCTGTGAATCAAATCCTGTTAAACAGAGTAGATCCATTTTATCGCATTCACAATCTGTATTTTACTGGGAGAGACTCAAGACCAAGACATTGTAAAGCCAAAACAGTGAAATACCACCACCATTGTTGCCTCACTTTGCCTGCAAAAGGTCCAGGTAATCTTACATAATTTGAGATGTAACTTTTCTGGGTCGCTGCAATTCCACACCATTTAATATTCACAAATAGCTCCCAGTGAGTTCACTTATCTCTTAAGCACCACTGGATATCCAATCCCTGAGGCCTTAATTAGGCACTGATGAAAAGATTCATGCATCTAAAAGTAGAAGCTTGCATTTAGGTTACAGACATCTCTGAAAGTAAGGGCCTACCTTCACTCCTAAAGCAGTTGCTCCAGTCAGATGTCTGATGCTCACTCAAGAAATAGAAAAAGCTGAGATGCTCAGCCCCAGCCCCGGAACAACCCGGCCTCCCCGTGCCTTACCAGATGCTCTCAGCCAATGTATGTGTGGTACACACACACACAGGTATACGTACACACGCATCCTTTCCTGCATTTCTGCATACTGTCACCCCTTCATCACACCTACCACTAGCCTCACCTTAAAAAAAGATGTTGGAAACTAATGCTCTTCTTGTTTTAAGCTAGCTGAGTAACAGATGAAAGCAACAAAAGCCCTTCATGAAGAAGCAAAACAGCACAGTCAGGCAATTCTAACAGCAAATGCTTCTCAGAGGAATCGCCATCAAGGGCACCAGAGGCTGCATTACTGTGCGCTGTCACTGCCCACCTGCAGCAAGTGGAAACAGCCTGCCCCTGGGGGAGGCAAGAGGCGGCTTTGCCCACAGAACTGACAATGTGCAGGAGAACATGTCCATGGGGAAACATTCGAGCAGACCAGGTGCAGACTTTGAGTGCAAGACCAATGACGGCAGAGTACGCTGGCACATGTTTCCATGGCAGACATATAACCGAAAGCAAGAAAAGACTGGAACCACTCCCCACACCATCTCCAAACTCCCAGCAGGGTCTGTGCAGTCACCTCCCCCGGCTAGGAACACTCCTCAGCAGCTTCCAATGGCATGGCCAAAAGGCAAACATCACCAGCATGTTCCTACCCTTTCTGATTCCTACCCACGTCCAGCTGATCACCCCATCAGTGGCCCTACCCTGTTTCTACATCCCCTCAGGCACTACCCCCAGGCAAAGTCACCAGTCTGCAAGGGACTGGGTGACACTGCCAGATGCCGTGAGGTGCCTCGTCTCTCAGGATCTTCACCAGAAGGCCAGAGATCGGCCACACCATCTCTTTCACACAGCAGCCTGAGGATGGTCCTGAATTAAACCACGGAGACAATGACAATTACAGCACAAGAATCTGCCTGGCTTTCCTTCATGGCTCCTTCCCCTCTTTTCTGTCATTGGCGTCTGGTATAATTAGGCACAATTATTTTGGGGAAAAGTCTACAACTTGGGCATGTTAACTGCAAACAATAGCAATACATTTATCTGTGTGATTGTATACACAAAGTTCTCTATGTGCACTACACCCACCAAAATGTCAGTGAGCTCTTCAGAGGCCAAACCCTAATTGCAAGGATGGGGCATGACAGAGAAAAGAAACACAGAGAAAAACTGAAGGAGATAAAAAGTTTGAGGCAGCATTTGGTAATATGACACAACCACGAGATGTAGTCATTTGTTTCTTACAATGGTACTTCCATGTAAGCAGTGACAGTTGCCACACACAAGACAACTGATTAAGGCATACACAGAACAACTCTGTAACTATGACTAAGAATGTCTAGGATAATTTATGACCAGATAAAATTGAGCAAGCAGGAAGCAGAAAAAAACGCGTGGAAAATCAAGCAGCATCCTGACACCACAGCAGGCTGCTCTGCTCGACCATCAGGAGAAATCCACCACCAGACCCCACCCGCCAGCCAACAACGGGCTGGGGACAACACGCGGGGCTGCGCGGGCACCGCCAGGCTCGGTGCTGGTGGCGGTGGCGGGGGGCAGGGGGCGCTCGGACCCGGCTCTCCCCGCGTCAACGGCCCCGTGCCCGCGGGCCGGGCCCTGCGCTGGGGCGGCCGTTAGCGGGCCCCGCCCCGTCAGGGCTGAAGCGCGGCTCCCCTCACCTCCCCCCCCTCCCCCCCGCCTCACTGCGCAGGCGCCCGAGGGAGGCCCGCGCTTGCGCCCCGCCGCGCGCCGGCCT